TTAGCCCCCGGAGTGGACTCATTTCCCTAAATGAACTGTGAGCAGATAATCTGCTGGACATTTGGTTTTGTTATGAGCAATTCTTTTTGGAAAAGTAGCTCGTTCTGGGCTGAGTGGGGAGCTCAGTGGTAGAGTGCTCGTCCAGAATGCTTGAGACCCTGGGTTCAATGGTGAGAACTACAAAAAGTCAACTAGCAGTTCCCTGCTTGCTCCATGTGCGCAGTTGTCAAGGACAGGGACTCTCGGGTAGAATAAAACTTGAAGTTTGCCTCTGCCAGGCATAAGATGTGGCCTTTGCAAACTTTCTGCCCTTCCAGATTCTAATTCATGAAGTAGAGTTTACAACAAAATTGATTTCCTAAGGGCCATCATGAAAATTAAGTAAATTTAATTAAATTTAAGTAAATCCTGCTAAGGGCTAACAGTAGTGAAGTGTCCGCCACCAGCCCCGCTCGCCTCACCTCAAGCTGGGCTGCCTTCTTTCCCAGAATCCCCACTTCTGTGAAGTCTTACTCTCTTCTTTAGCTTTGGTGGTTTTAGACCATCTCAGCTTTAGCCACCTCATCCATTAGAAAGGTGCTGAAATCTTTCATCCTTCTTCAATTCCTAATTTATAACCTTGTGGTTGTGGCTGTTTGCTGCTGTCCCGTGAGACTTTCTGACACAGTAAACAGAAAGGACCACACCTATGTTTATTATCACCTCTCTACCCTGGTTCCTTCCTTCAGACATCTGTAGTTTTGCTGGTAGCTTCCGCTTCCACTGTAGGGCCCACGTTTCTAATTTATCTATGTCTACTCCTTCTCCTTTTACAGTTCTTCTCGGCAGTGGCCAGCTCCTACTGACTGTCTCTGAATTACTTCTTGGGTATCTTGAGACCTTTTATTTCCCACTACTACCATCTCATGTAGGTTCTCATTAATCACCTTTTTCTCCGGACCACTGTAGCCCATGGGCAATCTTCCTAACCTTAGACACAGTTTAAACATACCAGGAAAAGTTCCCCCAGACTGAATCTCTTCTCATGCACATTCTCTGTTTTTTTAATGTTATTATTGTCTCCTTGCCATGAGAGAACTGACCTTCACAAACTTCTTAACTTCTGCATCTTAAACACCCAATTAATAGTTGTTCTAAATAGTCTAATTACTATTCATTGCCTCATTTTTATCATATAGTTATAGTATACTATTGGTATGACATACTGTTCTTCAGAAGAACATTATATTTTAAGTATTGCTGACATTATTGGTTGAATTAATTGTTGATTAAATTTATTTTCTATCCTCGCTCTAATTGAAACTACAGACATTTCATAGGCCAAAATTGGATTTCTGGCCCATTCACTCCCTGCTCAAACATCGTCATCCCTGTTCCCAACTGATTGCCTACTGGTTAATGTCCCCATCCTAGAGCCAAGCCCTCAATTAAGAGGGCAAACTTCCTTCTCTGAATGTGCCAATCGGCTCAGAATACTCTAAGAGCTGTTTTAATTGGAGAAATGACAACGTTAGCGGTGATAGCAAAAGCCTCCTCAGGCTGTGTCATGCAAGATGATAGAGTGGAACTGGCCCTGCTCCTCAACGGAAGGTATAGACATGACACCACCACAGCCTAGGCGGGAGAGCAAGAGAACGAGATGTACACATTGAAGGCAAAGGAGTTTGCTTAAAACCTTGGAAGTTAAAAATGTCTTTATTTGAAAATAAGGCAGCCTGAAGTCCCCCTGCCCCCATTTAGTTAAAAAGGCTTTTCCTGACAGGTGGTCATGGCACACACCTTTAAACTCAGCACTCAGAAGGCAGAGGCAAGTAGGTCCCTGAATTCGAGTGAGTTCCAGGACAGGCAGAGCTATACAGAGAAACCCTGTTTCAAAAAACTACAACAAAACCCACCATTTTTTCCCTTGTCTCTCCTCCAGAGGAAAGAACGCCAGAGACACTTCCCCTTCTAAGCTGATACTGCTACAGTTCCTGAGCATCTTTTGTGATGTGTGTTCTTCTATTTGTTCACCCCTCATTTCGCTCATTTGCACTTGCATTTGGCAGATAAAAAAATGTTGCTCTCCTAGTATTGGGAACTTACTGCTTCTTCATTCTTCTTGAAAACTTCCCTACATTATAGTTTAAAGGATACTCTTTCTTCCTAGACTTTTAGAGTCTTGGTCCTGTATGGGTAAACACAGATATTACCACTACATGAATCAAGTAGTTATCTTCATTAGCATTAATGTATTAAAATGTGATCTATTGTTTGGCGCTTGGAAATTTTTTAAGAGGAAGTAATTTCAAAATATGAAGAAAGTAGGAGCCAGTTGCAGTGGCTTGTACCTGTAATATCATCTATTTGGGAGGCTGAGGCAGGGCAGTTGTTGAATTGGGGAGATTGTGGCCAACTTCATTGAAAAAATAAGAACTGGGGAGAAAATCCTAAAGAACAATTTTCTTCAGAATAGATCACTTTATTTTATTAATTATTGTTATATGGACAGGCATGCAGTGCATGGAGCTACCGTTGAACTCACTCTGTAACTCAGTTTATGACCTTGAACTTGCAATACAATTGATTCCACCTTCCAAGTGTCAAGATTATAGGCATGCAGCATTAAGCTCCGTTTTATGCAGAGCTGAAGATAAGGATTAAACAGGTGGCCTTGTGCATGCTACTCAAGCACTCTACAAACTGAGCTACATCCCCAACCCCCTGTTTACTCACCATTTGAAGGTCAAACCCTTTAACCTCACTCACCTATCCTTTCTTTATTTTTGTTTCAAAGATGTATATTTATTATACTCGGCTGCATGTGTCCCTACAGGCCAGAAGATGACAATAGATCTCATTACAGTTGGATTATAAGCCACCATGTTGTTGCTGAGAATTGAACCCAGGATCTCTGGAAGAACAGTCAGTGCTTTTAACCACTGAGTCTTCGCTCCAGTCCTCACTTTCCCTGTCTATCTTGTGTTTGAACCCAGAATGTGCTTATTTATCTCTTCCAATTCATGTCAGACCTATCATGTGTATATTGACGTCTCAAATTAGTCTGCTCTCCAAAATTTTACTTTCTTGTTTCTTCTCAATTCATTTCAACATGAAACAAAGAATAAGAGATGTATTAAGTTTACTATCATGGTTAAATTCAATCAACAACCTCAAATTATATAAATGAGGAGCAGAAACTATAACTGACTGGTAGAAAATCTGCTTAACAAGTGTGAGGTCCTGGATTAATTCCTCAGCCCCACAGACATTAAAATAAAATATGCAAAAGGTTAGCCCATCTTGGAATCTTGCACTTTAGAAAACTGCTAGGGAAGTCTTTTTATTAGAAAGTAGATTCTCAGGCAGCATCTTGATTAACCTCATTTCTGTCTCGGGCCAGAAATGCTGCTTCATTTTCTGCTACAGGTTTGAGACTCGCTTGATAGAAAATCCATCCATCTACACATTGCTTAATTAGGAATGAATTTTAAGTATTCAGAACCTACACATGATACTTTGACTCCCAGAGACAGAAAGGAGCAGGAGAGCCGTAATTAACTAGCAGGCTGCCATCCCAGAGCTTTGAGCAAGGTAAACAACTTACTTTGCCTTTTCCTTCCCGAGTTAGCAAGTTACCACTGACAAGGTAATTCAGACTAGAATAAGAGTGTGCAAAGCTGACAGAAAGACGTTCCTTGAGACCAGTTAACCGCTGACTCCTCAACTGGCCGTAGTTATTAACGGTGCATGGCATTAAGACATAATGCATTCTTTTTATAGGAAGAATGGGAAGGAAGAAGGATGAAGGTAAGAGTCGGGTATGATAGTACACGCCCTTAATCTCAACATTCTAGCATCTGAGGCAGTGAGTTTAAAGTGGTTATGGCCAGCTTGCTACATAAGGAGACTTTGTCTCAAAATACAAAAAGGGAGAGTTTACCATGTGTATTTCTTTGCTGCATAGGCAAGGCACTTTGATGACCTCCCCTTTGTAGGCAAGGCACTTTGATGACCTCCCCTTAGTACCTACACTTCCCATGAAAGTCGGGAGTTAAGAAAAAGCTGAAAAAAAGCATGTAGTAGCAACTGCAGGAAAAGTTCAACTACCAATTTGTAAGAACTACCTTCCCCTTCTTCTACTGGTGAGGAGGTACTGGCTTTCCTTTGGGAATTCCATGTAGTTATTTTGAATCGTGGCCATTTGCAGCTGACAACTTGCCTAGACAAGTGAGCCTTCCGTAATTCTTTGGGAAAGAGTAGTCAACACCAAAAGAAGTCAGTGGTTCTCAAAACCAATAGAGTTAACAAATGAAATCTGTATCTTATCTACATGTCTTTAGAACATCACCATTTTGGATCTGAGGGACAGAATTAGTTCAGAGGAGAGAAATGTCACTAAATGCATTAAATATTTCTGGAGTTCCAGTTGACTTTCACTTTACATAGCTCCTGTCTTCGGGCATGTCTGTCTTCCACTCACTGCCCACAGAGGCTGGTTTTCTGGTTCATCCTCACACCTGTGTGTGCCAGAGGAGCAGATGCCCAGATTCTCGGGGTCAGAGTTGGGCCCTGGTCTTCCTGTCACTCTGCAGAAAGAGAGGGGTTTTGCAGCGTGGTGTCTGTCTGCTTGCTGATGACTGACTTGGATTTGTATGTTTCAAGTGAGCAGGTGGTGTCAATGGCTACCTAATGACTAAGAGAAGAGTGAAATTGATCTGATTAACCTGTCTCCCCAGGTGGGTGGCAAAATGCTCCTCCCTCCTGGGTTGAGTTACATTGTTCATTTCCAGGAATCACTTGTAGCCTTTACTCTCTTCATTTTAGCTGATTCCTCCAAAATCAGATACAAGCATGGCGGTTCTGCTGTCTGGCGTTCCTCCGTATTAGTAGCTACCTTCATCCCTAGACTCTGAAGCTAGACATTTAACTAACATTTATGGTGCAGACTAGAGAACCTTCCATTCTCTTGATCTTCTCATGCTGAATTTGAACCGTTGGGTGTTTTGCTTTTGTTCTAGGTTGACAAGCCACTTCCTCCAAACTCCACAACTCATTCTGATGACTATGGAGCCTACATAGTTTCTAGAGATAAACGATGAATTTCACAGTAAGTCGCATTATGGTTTTCGCTCCTGTGTGAATTCAAGCATTGTGTACAAGTGTGGTGCTTGGTCTGTGGGTGGTTTTGCGAGTCATGATGTTCAACACGCCTTTATTTCAGGGGGAAATTATGGTCCCAGGTAGAGATGAAAACGTGAGTCACTGAACGTGTGGTTTCCTGTTAGTTGCTGTCTGTTGGCTGCCTACATATCCGGGTTTTGTGAAAAAGGATTCTTTTGGTGGTAGGACACTCAAGCCTTGGGATGTGAGCGGGCATCACAAGTCACAGTTAAGGAGAAATGCATTAGAATTGCGTGGAGCAGGAAGCCAAGAGAATGCATTCCTTTGTAAAGGGATAAAATGCCCCAGTTGGGCTTCTCCCAAGGATGCTGGCTGATGGAATAGGATGGAATAAAGGCTTTAAAAGAAGATGCTGGTTGATAAAGTAAAGTGAAATGAAGTCTTTTATAAGAGAAGGTTTCATGCATCTAACTCACTGTTCATCACTGCCTGTTGTTTTCCTGGGGAGAGTAATTCCTAGAAGCTACCCCTCTCTAAGACAGTCTTTGGCTCTACCTGTAACAACTAAAAAGTCTAGGCTTTAACACCAACCTGAATTTAATTTGTGTTATTTTAATACCACATGGTGGTCCCGCCATTATCGAGTTACATAACTATGGGCTTGAGGTTTCTCATCTATAAACTCAGAGAAGAACAGTAGACTTTCTGGCAAGCTGTGGAAGAACACAATCGAGCCAGGAGATTGAGAACACTTGAACTATTGCTGATGCATAGCAAGCATGAACTTTATTGGTTAGCTGTAGTGCTCTACAGAATCGTCCCTTTGTCTCTCAACTCCGATAGGCTGAAAACTTGGTCATTCTTAGTATTACTATTATTGATGTTTGTGGATATCATGATTAATAGAAGAGATTTTAGTAGTTGTGTGTGTGATGTTACTGGGATGTAACCGGCGCCCCCCCCCACTGGCTAAACTCTCTCTAAACTTGTGGGAATTATTAAAGAAATCAAACTCCCAAATCCCTCTCTCCTTAAAGGAGTTGCAGCATGTTTTCATGGAATGCCAGGAAGGAGAATAATTGGCATTCCATTGTCTTTGAATGTGTGCTGGCGAGCCCCAAGGTGACAGGAGGTATCAAGTGATCTGGAAGTGGGGTGCGTTCCTGCCAGCACACAGTGTAGTGGGAAAAGCAATTAGAAGGCTCGTTGCCATCTTGGATACATGCAAACATCAGTTGGCATAGCATTTCAGGAAGCTGAGTGGAAAGGAGACTGCAAAACAAAAAGCCTTTCATGGGGGCAAAGGCACTGCTTCCAAATCACAGTGATGATTATGACCACCATTAGAGTTTAATGAGCCTATGGACAGCTAATGACTTCATCTCTCTGGTAAACTTGCCAATTGCCCATGTTTCTATCCACATCTCTCCTTCTCCTCTGAGGAGCAAAATCGTGGTGCTATTAGCCAGACAAGAACAAGTCATGGCTTAATTCCTCCATATTGCTTTCCTTTAGGGACTGGCAGTAGCAAACCAGAGAAAAGAACATGGGGGCACTGTTTTTTAGAACCAGGGTTTAGTGCAAAGTTGACCTACATTCCTCATCTCTAAAATGTTCTTGGTCACTGTCTTGCTTATGAGCACACAGCGATGAATCACACGCTATTTCCAAAAATGATATGAAAGATAGCCAAAGCCAGTTGGGTGGTGGTGGCACATGCTTTTAATCCCAGCACTCAGGAAACAGAGGCAGGTGGATCTCTGTGAGTCTGAGACCAACCTGGTCTACAAGAGCTAGTTCCCAGGATAGCTACAACTGTTACACAGAGAAACACTGTCTCGAAAAAGTAAACAAGCAAAAAAGATAGCATATGCCATTGAAATGTTCGTATTATGTAGAAGTACCATTTATTTTGCTTAGAATGTATTGCAAAAGCTATCTGTATTTTAGACATATTTTCATTAGTAATCAATTATAGAATTTGATATTTTAAGTTTAAATAAGTGGTCTACTAAGCTGTCAAAAAATAGTAATTATAATAAGATTTAAATGGATATCAGAATCATCTTGATTAACCATACTATTATAATTTGTATATGTGTGTATGGCCCTAGGGTTTTAATTTAGGTTGCATATATGCAAAATATATCCTCTGAAACTGAGCTATACCCAACCTGATACTCTGATCATATTCATAATGGATAGTATTAGCCAATATTACTATTCATTGTCAAAGGCAAAAGGGCAAAGTTGGCAAAATAGAAATAGTAGGTACAAGTCTTACTAATAAGTTGTTGGGTAAAATATTTTTTGATAAAAATAAAAGATACTCCTCTCCTTTGTGATTCTGAGATACTTCTTTCACTGTTTTATTTTGTAAATATAAGTCAGTATGTACAATGTCCTAAAAGAATAGAATACATTGAAGGTAATGTAATTGTGTCGAATATAAAGTTAGATATTAAGACAATTCTTTTCATGCAATACTTTAAAAATTCTAAGTAAGTTCGACAATAAAGTAGTCAAATATCATTTTTTAATCTAATTCTTTCAGTAAACTGATCACCATGGCAACATAAAGGGCAGGGACGAATGTCTGTTGAGTTGAGGGAGCAGGTTGGGCTTTAGTCCCAAATTGTCAGTGGTACTTTCTGAGTGATTTAGGGTAATTAGTAGTTATCTGGTTAAGATCTTTGATACAGTTTTAAGAAAGGGTAAGAAGAACATCAAAATTAGAGAGTGATATTTAGAGAGAAACTCCCAAGCAACAAAGATATTTAGCAGACTGTAACATGCCATCAATCATAAATCTGCTGTCTTTGACTCCTTAGACATCAAGAGGAGAAGGTTAGTTTAAGAGCGGATTCTTCATGTCCTGATTTCCTTTTCTATTACTATGACAAAACACCCTAAGAAAGCAGCTTAGGGGAGAAGGGATTTCTTTGGGCACCCAATTTCAGGTCACAACCCATCATGACCAGAGGCAGCAAGAACTTGAATGGGGTGGCTAACTTGCATCGGCAGTCAAGAGGTAGAGTGTGATGGATGTCTGTGCTCAGCTCACTGCCTCTGCTTTTGTGGAATCTGAAGTTTGGTGCTACCCACAGTGAGCAGGCCCTCTCCCATCAATTAAGCCAGAGAGAATTTTCCCCCACCAATGTGCAAGGCACTCCATCTCCCCAGTGACTCTAGACCTCATTAAACTGACAGTTGAGATGAACCACCATTCTCCAACAAAAACATGTAAACTAAATCTAATTTATTTTTGGTTTCATACAGAGATCTCTGCGGTTTCTTTGTGCAAATAAAGTCAGCATATAAAAATATTCACATGCCAGACATAAAGAATATGCATATTCAGCTACAGTGATACATTCTTTTATGGAACCTGTGATTCTTAAGGAACAGAGTTTAGATGTTCTATACTTTGCCGGAATAAACTGTAAGAGACAGCATGCTTGTGTATGTATGTCTCATCACTGAAAGCAAGATGGCGGAGTTGGCTGAGCTGGGCAGCTCACCAGGGAGCTAGAAGAACCCCAGCTAGGAGTGTGTGACTCTGCAGGGAAGAAAAAGGCCTAAAACCCATCCATGAAAATCCCTAGCTTAGTGGGAATAGGGCCTTCTCTCATGGTCAACAGGATGAAGAGGGGAAATCCTTTCCCAGACAGGCACCTCCACTGCTGACTTTCCACAGTGGTCCTGTGAACAGAAACTGTTTACTATGGTTTGAATGTGAAATGGTCTTTACAGACTCACATGTTTGAATATTTGGGCCCCAGCTGGTGTTCTGTTTTGGGAAGCTGCCAGAAATTAGGAGGTGAGGCCTCATTGGCAGACACAGACTACAAGGGACTGGGAGTCAGTCAGCTCACCTATACATCTCTCTCTCTGCTTCTTAATCAGGCAATATGTAACATGCTGCCTATTAAGCCAGGATGGCCACCTAAATTTCCTCATCATAACTGGCTATGTCCCTTCAACCATAAGCCCAGATCTATCCTCCTCTCTTAAGATGTGTCTGTCCAGGTGCTCCCTGTCCTTGACCACAGGGATGAGAAGTTCAAGGAAGACTTAGCGAGTAACCATCGGCCACCAGCATTGTTCCTGAGGACTCTTTCCTTCACCATTCTGTTGGCCCTCAGGCTGCTTTCTACTACCTTCTAGCCTGCCCCAGTCACCCTATTAGTAAAGCAGGTACCACTGACCTTGACACTCTTGGGTCCCTTTCATGTCTTGCTCTCTGAATTAACTCTTTACCATCTAAGGGGAGGGAATTGTGTGTGTGCGCGTGCGCGTGTGTGTGTGTAGGGGTGAGATTATTCTCATATCAATAATAGAAAACTTGGCCCATATAAAGAAAACTAAAAATTGTCTGTTCATGATAGAATTTTAAGCTGCATGCATTGTCAAATTACAGTGTAGGAACGACAACGGCTCTTGCTCTAACTCCTGGGTTGTGATTTAAAAGTAGAGCACAGTCAGGCACAGTTCATGAGGCTCATGCCTTGGTTGTCTAAGAAACTGGGAAGCTGAGATAGGCATGCATGCATTTAGATCAGCTTGGCTTTATGCAGAGAGTTCCAGGACAACCTGGGCTATAGAAGGAGACCTTTGTCAAAACAATATAAACAACAGCAGAAGCCAAAAAACACCAGCCAAAGTAACCCCTCCCCAAACAAAACACAAACAAGCAAAACGTCTGTCTCACAGTGGAAGAGAAGGTGAACAGTTGTGGCTGGAGCCTAGGAAGAGCAAAGCAGGAGGTGGCATGGTTACACAAACAGAACGACTTGGAGAAATTAGGGTTCATTTTTGTATCTTATAGCACAGTGGAATGAGTTGTTGGTTATGGCAATCTGGGGTGAATCTCAAAATAATTAAAACAGTATGAAAGCTCCCAACACAGAACTTACTACCACTTGAGGAGAGGGAGGAGCCTGCCTACAGCCATGCTGTGATAACTACGTGCTGAACACCAGTATGGAGTGACCATGTTGTCTCCTATTATGTATAGATAATGGCTTCCTTCACGATTTGTGATTTGCATTTCTGTGTGCGCATGAGTGAGTATGTCTATGCTTGTATGTATGTTCATCTGAGTGAAACTAGAAGAAGGTACTGGATACCTTAAAGCTGGAGTTTCAAGCCATTTTACGTGGGTGCTGGGTGCCAAACTGGGGTTCTCTGAAAGAGCAGCAAACTTTCTCTTAATCCCAGAGCCATCTCTCCAGGTCTAAAACATTATCTTGCTTACACTCATAAGGCTCTGGTTTTTAGCTCCAGTGCCGAAAAAAATGAATAAATGAATGCATGAATGGATGGATAAATAAAAAGAAAGCCAGTGAGACTCTCAGTGGAGAAATGAGCTTGCTGCCCAGCTTGCCAACTTGAGTTCAATGCCAAGGAGACACATAGTGGAAGGAAAGAATGAACTCCCAAATCAAAGTTCTTCCCTGACGGTCATACATATGCATACACACACAGGCACAGGATAACAAACACATTAAATAAGTAAATGTGTTTAAAGAACAATTTTAAAAGGTCAGGCTGATGTTCTGATGACAATCATATTCCTTACTTACCATACTGAGTTTTTTTGGACTCACCCCTATTACACGTTCTAATTACATACACTTTTTTTCAATTCTCACAAAATATACGTTAGATATAACGTACTGTTCTCAACTTAAAGACAAATGAAATTCAACAGGATAATTTGATCAAACATCAGAACAAATAGAGCAGCAAAACAAGGATTTGAACCCACATCTCTCTGTGACCCAAGGCCAGGCTTTCTCCATCATGTGCAGTTTTCTCAGTCTCTCCAACATGCCTTATTGTCTAACCATGTCTTCTCTTTATACTCAGGTATCAGAAGATGACTGTGTTGGCAGTTTTATTGCGTGCATGTACATTACCATCAACCAATACTTACTGATCTGTCCCATGAAGTCAATGAACATTTTGCAAGCAGATGGGCTACAGGTTCAGAAAAAAAAAAAAATCAATGACTATTTGAGCGAGCAAGTGAATTAGGGAGAGTAAAAGCAGTCTATGTGCTTTCTCTTGGAGGGAAAGTCAAGATCCAGTCGTCAGAAGACAAACCCAGTGTTGATGGCTGAAGTCAGGAGCGCAGGCGTCTCTCTGGCTAGGAATCCGATTGCTGTTTTCATTCCATAAACTGATTTCCCGATGGATTTGAATAATTTCGACATTGAGAAGACAAAACCCTGTTTGTGGTTCTTTGTTGTGCAGCTCAAGGCCAGTTTCCCTCCTAATCATTTTTCATTTGCCTTCCTCTCCACTCATTTTGCCAGTTTGCATTTTTTTGTGCTGCTACCCACAAACCCCTCTTCTTGCTGAGGAGTGTCCATTTGTCTTGCAGTTTTCCCCTGTGTCTATCAACTCTGCCTTGCACTCAGCCTTCCTGTTTTGGAGCCCTAATTTTGTTCAAAGCCTTATCAATTAATTGGGCATAAAACACCTTGGCTCTTCTATGGAAATCACCTTCCCCTCTAGCTTAAGGCATCGCCAGTGGTAAAATGGATTCATTTTGTATTTGCAGACATTTCAGGGGTGGGATCATACTTTCCATTGATACCTTTTTAAAAAAAAAGATTTCTGTCAGTGATGGAAATACTATTGCTGAGAGTTTGCAAATGCCCAAATATACAAGAAATAAATGTGAAGACAAAAGTTTTTGTCGGCGTGCACCAGAAGTATTTTTTTGCCTTCTGCGGTTCTTCTTTCTAGTCTTTTTCTCAATACATCCTGTCTTACGGTCTTAATTTACTTAATCAGTAGGATGAGACTTTGGTTGTATGTCATTGTGTGAGCAGTAGAGCCCATGCTTAGCATGTGCAAGGCCTTGGGTTAAAACTAGAACTGCAAATATTTTATATATATTAAAATATATTAAATATATATATACTAAAATATATATGATATATGTGTAAATGTATCTTTGAATCCTGCTTTCTCCTAAAATTAGAGAGCCTAAGATTTGCTTTCACCCAGTTTGTAGGTGCCAAGTAGACAGCAGGAGATATGGCTGTTAATGGGCCTGGTACAGCCTTGACTTTTAGATGCCTTCAAGTATTCAGTTATAAGTTTGTTTAGAAAAATATAACTTCATGAAGCCAACTGTATAATTCCTGGGTAATCCTTTTTGCCTCTATCATGTGCTAATTCTGTAATCGTTTAAAACAGTTTCTTAGTATGTAGAAACTAAGAATATATTAATACCGAGTTACATAATACATGACAAAATAATACATTTCTATTTTTTAATTTCCAAATTAGGCTATATGTGTTTTTTAAGTTCATTCTGTGCTTTATGAAATGTGGTAAATGCCCTCTTTGGGTTCCACCATTTCTCTTATGTACATTAGCTATACGAAAAATAAGATTTTCTGGTTCACCTCCCACTTTTCGGCTAGCTTGCTTCCCTTCCCAGCCCAGTTTTCTCTGTTCAGACTTCTTCAGTTTTTAATCTGGTGAACATACACTGCCTGAAAGCTTAACTTTCTCTGTATGGGTGACCTGCCCAGTTTTAAAAATTCACATTTTAATCAGTCTGCAATGAAAGTCTTTACTCTTATTCAATTGCTGTTTTACTCCTTCACCTATTAAAATATTTGATTATTCTACCCAGGTTTAGATATTTGTCCTTTGTATTTATCTAATAGCCAAAATTTAAGCTTTTCTCTGAAAGCAATTAGAATGTGACCCTCAGAGAGGTTGTTTTACACAATTTTCAATGAAAAACCTTTCCCTGGGCTGGGTCCTCTGAGACCAAGCATTCTCAGTCTTAGGCACAGCGTGTTACCGTCAACTGCTGGAAAATCATTTTCTCTTTTAAACCGGGTCTCACTCTGTAACCTAGCCTGGCCTGGAACTCACAGCAATCCTCTAGCCTTTCACAGGCTATGATTTTAGGCATGAGTGATCACACCCAGCTTTTAAATGCAGTAACTCTTTTTTTCTTTTTTATATACTGTGCTTAGAAGTGAACCTCAGGCCTCACTCATGAGAGGTAACAGCTTCACTACTGAGTTATGCCCCGAACTTTCTGTTTGTAAATTAATAAATATGTCTATTATAATCAAAAAAGATCCCTGTTGTGCAAGAAGAGCTAAAACTTCCTAGCCACTAGACGCAAACGTGTTTCGTAGGATCTAAAGACTATACCAGAAAGGCTCTTTGTTAGGACCAGATCTCAGAGCTGTTGGGAACTGCTGACTGGATTTCAGTAATCGTGGAGGAGATTCCGACAGAGGGTTAGGACACTCCCTTCCAAACATCATCAAAGCTGAACATGAAAACTGAGCAGCTGAAGAGAGAAGCAGTGTTCCCCAGGCAATTGGGGTTCCAGAGGCCAATCAGAGATGTTTGCACAATCAAGAAAGCATAGTGTCTTAAACCACAGGCATCTCTCATCACAGCACATCTTGCCAGCAAAAGGTCCGCCTTTTATTTGTGTCGAACTGAATTCCTCTTGTTGTATGCTACTTGATGGTTCCTTTGTTTTGGGAGCGTATGTGGGGGGGGGACAAATTAAATCAAAACTAGAAAGACTTGTTAAAGGGAGGTGTGTCTTGCTTCTCTAGGATACAAACAAGCAACTAATTCCACAATAGTCACAGCTGATTAACTCAACCTCTACAACATGCGATGAAAATGCAAAGAAGCCCAACTTACTATGCCATCATATAAACTAATCCTCATTTCATTTTCTGGAAATTGTATTGGCATCAGAACGAGGGGTATATGAAAAGACTCCAAGAACAGCAATGGCATGTCTCTGAGAATCAGGGCATGCCTCCTTAAACCCGTACATTTCCAGATGAACACAGAACCACACTTTTCAGTCAAGGACTTAATACTGAGTGGTCTGGAGCCCCCCTCGCCTGAAGGGCAGCCCCTTGAGAGCTGCAGAAAGGGGCGCCTGCATGCATTTGCAGGAAGAGGAAACAGAAACATTTATGGCGTTCACACCACCCAATATACACAAAAACATATCCTCTCCTAATCCTTGTCTATAAAACTTTATTTACATAGTTATAAATTGGGAAATCTCAGACATAAATTTGGTGTCTATTAAATATACAATGTTTTAGTGAGCGGGAACTGTGGCAGGCCTGTTCCTTTTCTTCTTTGCCTAGCAGCCAAAATGAAGAAATAATGGGGGTGGAGGCTAGAGAGATGGTTCAGAATTTAAGAGCACTGAAAGCTCATTTAGAGAACACAGATTAGATTCCCAGTACCCATAGCGGCTCACAACCACCTGTAAATCTAGTACTAGAGGATCTGGTACCCTCTTCTGTCCTTCCTGGGCACTTGACATGAACACAGTGCACAGACACACTTGTAGACAAAACACCCATTAAACATAAAATAAAAATAAAGAAATCTAAAAGAAAAAATGCTAGGTGAGCCATATTTCCCAAGACTCAGAGTAGTTCTTAGCCATTTGTGACATCATTAGCAGCACTGTGACATCCCTTGGGAACCAAGCACATAAATGGTCTTCTGTCACTTACAGTAGGATCAAGGGGAAAACGAAAATGAACTTGCAATGTCAGACCCTAGCTCAATTTTGGAGGGAAAAAAAATCTTCCTTTGAAAGAAACTAAATCAATCCCCAGTTCAAATTAAATTTGGACCATTCTGTGAGGCCCTGAGACCCAGCTCCAATAGCAATCAGTACTTACAGATGCAAGGTGCAGGCAAATCATGCTTCATTTAAAAGGAATTGAATGAGGATTACCGACAGAGAAAGTTTGATGCTGTTTTGTCATGAATTAAAGTTAAATCATGGTGTTATTGGCTCAGTCTTACATCTCAATTCTGATTCCTTTGCTGTGTCCCATTCCTTTTCTTTAAAAGACACCCACCCACCCCCCTTTAATTCTGCTGGTGCCTTTTGCCTAGTTGAACTTGTGTCTTAAATTTACTAAAACCTTGTCATACTACGGTGTCTTAATCGCGGTTTGTGGATGTCTGTCTCGTACAAAATTTCGCTGTAATTCTCCTGGCATGAAATGCCTTGTTCTGCACAGGCCTTCTGTTTGGTTTGCTGACATTCTTCTTAGTGGGCTCTCATGGTGATTCATTATCTTGTGATATAGATTTCCAAGTATCATCTTTGTATTGATTTTTATATCTTTAATAACCACCGCACAGAAGATGGCTCCACTGGTGTCATTGATCGCATCAAAAATTCAAGGCTTACAGAAAGACTCGAGGGCTAATTGGTGGCAGTACATTTTAGACTTAATCTTAATGCAGTCTTAATCTTGAGCATTAAACCCACCTGAAGGCTTCCTCCTTGAGTCAATGAGGGGATGTTTAGTGTCTCATTGAAAAACACCTGGAGATGCCGTGCAAAAAGGCGGGACTAGACGGATGACAAGCAGTTAGGAAGTTCTTCAGCTACCAAGCACAGTCTGTCACCAGGCCCTCCACACAGAAGGCACTTATTGCTTTCCTTTTCTGTGACCTCTGGCTCCACCATGGTTTTCTTGCCCGTTTGGAACAAGCCCTCCTCATTCTACAGCACGTGGCTTCTTAGTATGTCACCGTTTTCCAGTTCTATCATAGGTGTGATTCTTCTTGTCATTGTTCTTGTTGCCGCCACAGGGTCTCCCGTAGTATAAGCAATTTTCAAATTGGTTATGCTGTCAAGGATGACCTTTGAACTCCTGAGCCTCCTGCCTCAACCTGCCAACTTCTGGGATTATATGGGCTTGTACCACGTGAGCTGTGTTATATATTGCTGGGGATGGAATCGAGGGTTTGTGCTGTTAAGTAAGCAAGAACTCTACTAACTGAGCTACCGTCCAAATCCAATAGGCGTGATTCTCCCTCTTTTTGCTTTTCATTGAAAAGAAAGTCTTTTCTCACATAATATATCCTGATTACAGTTTCTCCTCCATCCGTTCTTCCTAGCTCTTCCCTACCGCCCCTCCCATCTGAATCCACTCCCTTTCCTTTACTGTCTCTTATTAGAAAAGAACAAGCTTCTAAGAGATACTAATAAAATATAACAAAGTATAATAATATACAACAAAAACTCTCACATCGAAGTGGAAGCAGACAAACCAACGGAAAGAGCCCAAGAGAAGAAACACAAGAATCAGAGACCCACATATTCACACACTCAGGAATTCCATTAAAAAAACAAAACAAAACACTAAACTGAAAGTCGTAATATATACACAGCGGACCTTTTGCAAATCCATGAAGGCCCTGCGCATGCTGCTGCCGTCTCTGTGAGTTCAGATGAGCTTTGCTCATGTTGGCTTAAAGGCTCTTACACTGGCTCTTATACTCTCTCCAGTATATGTGATTTTTTTTTCTTTTCTCATACAATACATTCTGACTACAGCCTCTCCTTCATCTCCTCCTCCTACTTACCACACCCACCAAACTCCCCTCCTTCCATTCTTCTCAGTTCCCACCCACCTTCCTTTTTCCCAGATTCCCTGCTCCTCCAATTCTTTCGAAAACGAGTAGGCCTCCCAGTGATATCAACCAAACACAGCATAGCAAGAGGCAGAAAGTCTTGGCACAAACCTTCATATCAAGGGTGGACAAGGCAACACAGCAGGGAAGAAAGGGTCCCGAGAGCAGGCAAAATGAATCAGAGAAAACAAATATAAACAAATAGAAAGAACTGGGT